AAATACCCAAATTTACAAACAAGGACAAGCAATGTTAAACAACACTACCTTTGCCTTTTTCAGCCATATGTTGCCTTAAAAAATACACAATAAATCAATCACTGTTTGGAAAAAAACTTGATATGTCACAATTACAAGGATTAGCATTATCTTTAATAGATAAATTTATTTAAATGTGTCAACATCAGTAGGTCACTAATAGTTCTCCCAGATCTAGAACAATGACCCACCAAAGCTATCAGTCCAATAACTCGTCAAAACTAATCCAAACTTGACAAGGAAGGTATGCATGTTGAAACAAATGTATTAATTTCCTTCTATTCCCAAGCATATATAAGAGAACGGCCATTTCCAAAAAGTTGTTTACAGGTTTACAAGATTGAAGCCCAATAATTCTTGTGGGACTAAACTATTTAGATGAGAAACAAAGAAAATTATAATAATATCAAAGATTTCATTAACATATGTATCAAAATTATTTTCTTAAGTTTATATCTGCTTTTGACATATAGAACTTTGAATAAAATATTGTTAGGAGTTCCATCGAACCCTGTGTCTCGCCTGCGATTGTTGCTGTTAGTGTAAAAGTGTAATGTTGACTTAAAAAATGATTCCATTTATTAGTAAAATGCAGAATTTAAAACAAATTCAAATTTTTTCTTAAGATGCTATTTCATGGTCTTGAAGATAAGCTTCTGTCCATGTTTCATAACAATCTATGAAGGCTCACAAATTGGCACTGGCTACGAATACCCGCAAAAAGTAACAATAAGAAATAATCATTGTTTATTCCGAGACTAACACCGAACAGTAAGCTATAAAGGGCCCCAAAAAATTACTAGTGTAAAACCATTCAAACGGGAAAATCAACGGTCTAATCTATATAAAAAAAAAGAGAAACGAGAAACACTTATGAACCACATCAACAAACGACAACTACTGAACATCAGATTCCTGACTTAGGACAGGTGCAAACAAATGCAGCGGGTTTAAACGTTTTAATGGTACCAAACCTTCACCCTTTTTCTGAAACCATAGTGTAACATCACAACATAGAAAGACACACTATAAAATATCAACTGAAATAGCTTAACTCAATCAAAGGACATATTAACACCATTGAACATACACTGAACAAATAAATTTGACCTATGACACAATGTAAATACAAAATAAATAAACTAAGGGAAGAATAATAAAAGTAACATATTATATCGGTAAGAAATGTTAAACAATTAAAGAAAAACAATATGCTCGAACAAAAATATCAGCCATTTGCGATAACTTTAAACACAGGTAAATGAAAATAATTTTGTTGTTAGGTATACGTGTACAGTACCAATAGAGAAAGGAAATATTTTTACAAAATAAATAATTTTGATGTTCATAGTACGAAGTGAAAATTTATAGTTATACCAAACACTTATCAAAGCTGGCATATAGACCAGATATAACCCTGAATAACATTAAATAAATAAAAAGCAATACAATTAGTATCAACAGGTCAAATAAACAAGAAAGTACGATTTGAGAGTACTCGCAGTTACTGACAGTTAGTTAAAAGCCAAAACAATTAATAATAAAAAATCATGCATCAGAGACTAAAATCAACTAAAACACATCCCAGGGATTTAGTATTTTAACGTCATGGACAGTCAAAGAAGACATGACTAGTGCAATGCCAAAAATAAATGTATCGACAGACAGTAGGATAGTTAGGAGTTTAACCTCTTTATAGATCTAAACGAACGTGGGTGTGTCTTTATACATCCCACTTGAAAAAAATACAAATTTAGTTATGTTTTAATTTGCTGATGACAAAATCGATATTAGTGCCAATGTAAACTATATTCAAAGATCTAGTTACAACATTGGTAAGATAACCTTTACTAATAAGTTTGTTTAAAGGTTCGATGAGTTTACACGGATCACATAGTGATTTCCGCGCTTTAAGTACAATATTACCGTAAAATTTAGGATGTGAAATACCGTTTTTAATCAGTTTTCTACAAGTACAGCCAAATTTACTAATCAAATCTTTGTATCTATGAAAGAACTTAGAAAAAGTTTTACGTAATTTATGGTAACGAAATCCTTGATTTAATAATTTACCAGTGATGCATTGATTACGTTCGTTAAAATCTATGACATCACTACACACACGGGCATAACGAACGAGTTGGGATATATATACACCGTATGATGGAGCCAAAGGAACATCGCCGTCTAAAAAAGGAAAATTAACAATAGGGAATGAAAAATCGTCTCTTTTGTCGTAAATTTTCGTATGGAGTTTTCCTTTAGAGATTGAAATGTCCAAATCCAGAAAAGGACAACTACTGCTGTTTATGTTAGATTTAGTTAAAGTAAGTTCTATTGGGTAAATTTCGGAAGTATATTTAGAGAACTCGGGATTATTTAACGAAAAATATCATCTAGATAACGGAAGGTATTGTTGAATGTATCAACCACATGTAACAATGACGTGTCTTTACTGAGTTTGGTCATAAACTGAGATTCATAGCAATACAGGAATAAATCTGCTATTAAAGGGGCGCAGTTAGTGCCCATAGGAATACCTACTACTTGCATGTCGATACACTCTATCGCCGAAACGTACATATATGTTGTCCAGGAGAAAATTTAAAGCTTCAATCATATCTTCACATTTCCAGTAAGTGTATCTAGCGTACTTTCCTTTTTCTGTAAACGAGTTACAGCAAATAAATTTGTAATGAGATTTTTCAAAAGACCATTTAATTAAATATGAAAACTTTTTCTTGATAATATTGTGTGGAAGTGTAGTATAGAGAGTAGAAAAATCATAACTGTCAACAGAATTAAAAGGACCATCAAAAGCATGTATTTTATCTAAAACCTCTAAAGAATTTTTAACACTCCAAAAATAATTAATACCATTATTTTCATAAGCTTTATTACAAAAGTTAATAACAAGTTCTTTGATAGTAGTAAGGGAGGTAGTTAGAAGCACTGATAAATTAGTAGTAGAACACTTACTAGATGCGGAGATGAAACGGAATTTAAATGTTTTTTTGTGCAATTTAGGTAACCAGTACATAGTAGGGACTTTCAAATGTTCGGAAGAGGCCTTAAGCTGGGTAGTGGCAGTGATATGCTTGTTAACAACTTGACTCTCTGTGGAGCGTACGGACCTGAATGTAGATGAATTTGTAATTTCGTTTTGGAGAACTTCCGTGTAGTATATGCGTCACACCACCACTACATTATTTGCTGCTTTGTCTGCCGGTACGAACACAAACCGCTTTGCGAGTACTTGAAATTTATTTTTTATTCTGGAAATGGGAATATCATGGACCCTTACTAATTTCAGAATTGTTTTCAAAATGAGATATACGAATATTAACAGTATTCATAATTTTATTCAAATAACTGTCTAGAGATTTTTTATCAGATTTTTCACGTTTACACCAATTTTTACAGTAGACAGACAGAGCGTCTTTAATGATCTGACGACACTGTTTCCAATCTATTTTAGATGGAGGACGATATTTCGATCCTTTCTTCAGAAAAGTTATGACCTCACGGTCTTCGACGATGTTGAGGTCTCCTGTAAGGACATGACCATAGGGAACATATCTAAAACTAGATGTTTCACAATCTCAAGTGGAAGGAACATTATTTTCTATATTGACGTCTGATGTAACTGACGTATAATTAAAAATCAAACTTCTGCTGGGTTTTTTTATAAGAATACGAAATAATAGGTGGTTCTATATTATCAAAATAGGGAGGTATTTGGCTTTGGATGGTAGAGTCATTGAATATACTAGATAAGTTAATAAAATCAATACCTCTATTTATATATTTTAATTTAAGAAAATGCCGTTTATGATTTTCAGGTTTATCGATACTAGGAAATAGCCTATGATGACAAAAGGCTGTAATAATACGGGTGTATACATACATTGGGCTAAAAAAAAGAAATTGTATCACACTCCAGAAAAATAGCATATAATTTACTTATTGGTATCTGACCCAGTTTGCATAATACTTGATGTCTGCCATTATTTTTTATTATAGATAACAGATCAGCAAGTGTATAATTTATACGATGTTTAATACGTTGATTACGGTTTTTGCGTTTGCCATGAGACCTTTTATTTCTAAGTCGTTTATCGACAATATTAATGACATCGATTGAAGTTTTAGTTATGTTCCCCTGTCCTAATATTTTGTCATTAAGACCGAGAGGATAAGCTGTTTGAAGTCTTTTTATCCAAAATAATTCGCGAACTTCACGTGATTTTTCGAATTGCTTGTGTGATTCTCCTGGTTGTTTCTGAACGGTTTCAAGTGGTTGGAATTTAATTAATTTTAGATTGTGATTATGCTTATCTAAATGTTGATATATCAAACTTTTGAATTTTTTAGGTCTACGAAAGGGGTAAAGGTGTTCTTGATTTCTTTTGTAATACGCTCGTCCCGTCTGTCCCACATATTGAATACCACACTTAGGTTGGGTTCAAGTTACCACATATATAAGGTTTTGAGTTTTTCAGGTAATGTCACAGGAAAAGGAGAGCGAAAAAGCTCTCCCGTTCACTGTTGACCGTACAGTATTTTGTGAAGTTAATCTAAAACAGGTTAGTCACTTTTTGGCATTGCACGGGAAAATTTGTGGATATCCACGCGCATTTTTGTTAAACAATCTGGCTGTAGAGGCATTACAAATACGTTTGTTTAAGCATGTGGATATCCTAGAAGTTATGTTGTTAATAATTTTCTTTCCATTGCGTAAAATCATGATAATTAAATAGGGGTATAGGAAAAATAAAAAAGACCGGAGGTTGTAACAATGAATAAGGATCACAATTACGGAATAGGAAATAATAGGCAAAGCAGTAAAAGAAATCTTACAAAAACTGTTATAAGTCCATTTATCAGTAAAAAACGACAAAATGTAAATAAATATTTTCAAATTTTTTTTCTGGATACTATATTTTGGTCATAATCAAACTTCTGTCCAAATTTCCGAAAATTCCATGGAGATATGACAAAGTTATTGATGTCTAAAAATAACTTCAGCCACAGACTGAACCTAAATGTTGACGCCGCCGAAGCCGGAATCTAGGATCGCTGTGTGTCGCTTTTGCGACATAAATGTCGCAGGCACGACAAACACTAGCTGTGCCTGGAGATCAAGATACCAACTATTTTAAATAAAAAAAATGATCATAAGGACATAATTAAAATCATAAATGCACAAATTCAAATAATTAAATGAGAAATAGATGAATGTTATCAATTCTAGCCTCATCTTACGAGACATTAAAGACATTAAATAGATAATAATAAATGTTCACAGAACAGCTGGATAAATATCAAGTTAAGTAGGGTACTGGACAAATCAGATCATTATCATATGTTATGTATTGAGATTACTTCTATCGTCAATTTTTTTTTCTTTGGTCTTAGAACAAACTTGTCTCTTATTGGTATGATGAACATCAATAATCCAGCAACAACAATCAATGTACCAGCAAAGAAAAATGTGGGATCATAAGTACCAAGGGAGTCTTTAAATGCTCCTGAAATTATAAACATCATATGTGTGTATGTTCACTTGTTTTTGTTAATATGTTTTTTGATTTTTTATAATGTGTCTTTCTATGTTGTGATGTTACACTATTGTTTCAGGTTAGGGTGAAGGTTGGCGCCTATTAAAACATTTAAACCCGCTGCATTTGTTTGCACCTGTCCTAAGTCAGGAACCTGATGTTCAGTGGTTGTCGTTTGTTGATGTGGTTCATAAGTGTTTCTTGTTTCTCGTTTTTTATATAGATTAGACCGTTTGTTTTCCTGTTTGAATGGATTTTTTGGGGCCCTTTATAGCTTGCTGTTCGGTGTGAGCAAAGGCTCCGTGTTGGAGGCCGTACTTTGACCTATAATGGTTTACTTTCACAAATTGTGACTTGGATGGAGAGTTGTCTCATTGGCACTCATACCACATCTTCTTATATCTATCATATGTATATGTATGAACTAATTGTAAAATATGTTTCGACTAAATATAAACAACATTCAAACTTTACAGTCTACGGTGTTTATATATCACAACTGGTTCGCTATGCGTGTCTGTTGTGACGTTTTGGATTTCAATGAACGAAATATATGTATTACTGGTAAACTATTTAGTCAGAGATTTCGTTACCACAAATTACCTAAAACCTTTACTAAATTCTTCCATAGATATAAATATTTGGTTTTGAAGTTTGGTTGTACCTGTAGAAAACTTATTTCAAACATGATAGCACATCCTCATTTTTACGGAGATGTTGTTTACCGAGTCCGGAAATTTAGAAACGATCCGGGTAAACTTATCGATCCTTTAAATAAACTTATTCTAAAGGTTACCAATTCAAAACTGTAATTAGATCTTTGAATATTTTTTTTATTGGTATTAATATTGATTTTGTTATCAGTAAATTAAAATCAAACTAAATATTAATTTTATATGCATATGCACATTCATGGCTCTACAATCTGTCGATACCTGTATCTTGGCATTGCACAAGGTCATGTTTTTCTCTGACTGTTTATGACGTCTTTACACTAAATCCATTGGATGATGGATGTGTACTGATTGATATTCTAGTCTTAGATGCATGTTTTTTTATTAGTTGTTATTGGCTTTGAACTAGCTGTCAGTAACTGCGAGTACTCTCAGATCTGTACTTAGTGTCTTTTTGTTGTGGGGATGTATAAGTACCAGTCCACGTCCACTCCGTGTTTTTGTTAGATGTATTTCTATTTGTATCCATCTGATGAATTAAGATTTTTTCAACTGATTTTTATAGTTTGTTCTTATCTTGTACTGTTACACCACTGTCCCAGGTTAGGGGGAGGGTTGGCGCCTTCAAACGAGTTTACCCCCGCCACATTTTGTATGTGTCTGTCCCAAGTCAGGAGCCTGTAATTCAGTGGTTGTCGTTTGTTGCTGTGTAACATATTTGTTTTTCGTTCATTATTTTGTACATAAATTAGGCCGTTAGTTTTCTCGTTTGAATTGTTTTACATTTGTCATTTCGGGGCCTTTTATAGCTGACTATGCGGTATGGGCTTTGCTCATTGTTGAAGGTCGTACGATGACCTATAGTTGTTAATTTCTGTGTCATTTGGTATCTTGTGGAGAGTTGTCTTATTGGCAATCATACCACATCTTCTTTTATATTTACACTTTTTTTGTGTTTTAAGATTTGCATTTTTTTTATGTTTTTTATTGTGCTTTTCTAAGGAAGTGATTTTCATTAATGAAGTTGGACTTTGGGGGGGATATCTCAGAAATCTACATGTATGTGCTACTATTTCCTCCTATTGCATATATAAATCTATCGAATCAAAGCTTCCAAATATCTAAGATCTAATAAATCTTGGGAAAATTAAAAGCAACTGTCATATTTGTTTTCTTTCTTGTGTCTTGTAGTATTTTATGTTTTACTACAAATAAATAAGGGGTGTCAATATGTAAACTAACAAAAGCTCTGTATGTAAAATTATCTTTAAATGTGGACTAGAAATGCTTTGTAAATTAACTCAACATCATATGTGGCCATAAACAATCTCTATAGGCAACCAACCTTGAATGGAGGATAAATAACAACCTTGTAGATAGACTACCCTCAATTCATGGACTTATAATAGCTCTATAGGTTTACTCACCTCCAAGCGGTGGACCAATTATAAATCCTACACCATTACTGAACATCAAATATCCAAAACCATCACCCAAAGCCTTTTCACCTAGCAGATCAACTGTAAAAATGACTAGTAGTCCTAAAATTCCTCCAAATCCAAGTCCATTTAAAAACATTATCAATGACAAAATTTCAACTGATTGAAAAATTTTAAACGGCAAGAACATTAACAATATTCCCACTGCAATATTCCATGATATATACATAGACAATCTACTAAGGCTTTGTATATTTCCAAGTCCTCCACCAATTATACAACCAATGAAACAACCAACTCCATTAAATGTTAAAATAGTAGCTGCATTTTCTTTGGTCAATCCCATTGATACAAAGTACTCGGGAGCAAGAATCCAAGAAATTCCAACTCCCATATTCCAAAGTATGTTATTAAGAAAGAAAACAAAGAAAGAAAAATCACGTAAAACATAGCAATGATTTAAACTTTTTTCAGCTGCAGTGTCAGAATTTTCCATTAATTTTGTGACTTTGCAATTTTGCTGAACTGATTTGTCATTCTCTGATATACATGTGTGAACATTGTAATTCTCACATTTACCATTGTTCCTCATGTGGTCAATATCAGGATTATTTGTTTGTTTGTCATGTATATTGCTGTTTGTCAACACTGACTTCAGTTCTTTCCTGTCTGGTTTTTCTGCCAGTGGAAATAACAAAGCAGAAAATACAATGCATTGTAAACTGAGTCCAGCAAGGATGAAAACTGACCCCTTCCAGCCATAATATTGGATCAAACTGTGTACTAATAATGGAAATGTTACGGCTCCTATGCCAGATCCACTTGTTGCGATACCAGTAGCAAGACTCCGATGTTCATTGAAATACAGACCTGCTAACACACTTGACGGTAGGTATACCATAGCAAATCCTAAACCTGTTAAAAAACGGGGATATATCAGGAGCCAAAATATTTTCCATGCAATCGCAACAGTAGCAAATTCTTTATTGCTTTCATATCATGTTACAATTTTTATTATTACTCAAAGAATGATAATCCCTATTTGACAAATAAATCTATTTACAGGAAAATTGCAAAAAATGCCAATAGCTTATTTGAGACCTTGTCATTAATATTGAAATATGAGTAACATCTTAATCAAAAATATATTTTCAGCAAATTATCTTCAATCCTGTGATATCTTTTTGGTAATGGCTCAGTTTTGACAAGTTATTGACATCATAGTGACATCACAAATGAAGTGAATATTAATGTGATCACAGTATTATTGCCCTCACCTGTAAAGATTCCATATATTATATACAAATAGATGATATTATCTAAAAATGGAACACACAGCAAACTAATAGAACTGAGTAAACTCCCAATGACAGCTACTCTTCTGAAACTCATATGCCTCATCATTAGACTCACCAAAGGACCTGCAATTAAAATATGTCTCATCAGTAAACTAACATGAGGACCTGCATTTAAATCTGTCTCATCAGTAAACCTCAAAACGACTTGCAAGTAAATATGTCATTTAAGTAAACTCACAAAAGGACCTGCAAGTAAATATGTAATATAAGTAAACTCACAAAAGGACCTGCAATCAAATATGTCTGATCAGTAAACTCACATAAGGACCTGCAATTAAATATTTCATTTAAGTAAACTCACATATAAGGTCCATTATGCAATTAAATATGTCATTTAAGTAAACTCACAAAAGGACCTGCTAGTTAATATGTGATTTAAGTAAACACACATAAGGACCTGCAATTAAATATGTCAATTAAGTAAACTCACATTAGGACCGGCAATTAAATATGTCAATTAAGTAAAGTCATATTAGGACCTACAATTAAATATGTCATTTAAGTAACCTCACATTAGGACATGCAATATAATATGTCATTTAAGTGAACTCACATAAAGACCTGCAATTAAATATGTCATTCAAGTAAACTTACATAAGAACCTGCTAGTAAATATGTCATTTAAGTAAACTCACAAAAGGACCTGCAATCTAATATGTCATCCAAGTAAACCCACAAAAGGACCTGCAATTAAATATGTCATTTAAGTAAACTCAAATAAGGACCTTTTAGTAAATATGTCATTTATGTAAACTCATATAAGGACCTACAATTAATTATGTCGTTTAAGTAAACTCACATAAAGACCTGCAAATAAAGATGTCATTTAAGTAAACTCACATAAGGACCTGCAAGTAAATATGTCATTTATGAAAACTCACATAAGGACCTGCAAGTGAATATGTCATTAAAGTAAACTCACATAAGGACCTGCAATTAAATATGTCATTTAAGTAAACTCACATAAGGACCTGCAATTAAATATGTCATTTAAGTAAACTCACGTAAGGACCTGCTAGTAAATATGTCATTCAAGTAAACTCACAAAAGGACCTGCAATTAAATATGTCATTTAAGTAAACTCACATAAGGACCTGCAATTAAATATGTCATTTAAGTAAACTCACATAAGGACTTGCAATTAAATATGTCATTTAAGTCAACTCACATAAGGACCTGCAATTAAATATGTCATTTAGGTAAACTCACATAAGGACCTGCTAATCAATATGTCTTTTAAGTAAACTCACATAAAGAACCTGCTAATCAATATGACATTTAAGTAAACTCACATAAGGACCTGCAATTAAATATTTCATTTAAGTAAACTCACATAAGGAACGACTAGTCAATATGTCATTTAGTTAACTTACATAAGGACCTGCTAGTAAATATGTCATTTAAGTAAACTCACAAAAGGACCTACTAGTTAATATGTCATTCAAGTAAACTCATAAAGGAGCTGCAAGTATATTTGTCATTTAAGTAAACTCACATAAGGACCTGCTAGTAAAAATGTCATTAAAGTAATCTCAAAAAAGGACCTGCAATTAAATTTGTCATTTAGGTAAACTCACATAAGGACCTTTAAGTCAATATGTAATTTAAGTAAACTCACAAATGGACCTGCAAGTAAATATGTCATTTAAGTAAACTCACATAAGGACCTGCTGGTATATATGTCATTTAAGTAAACTCAAATAAGGAACTGCAAGTAAATATGTCGTTTAAGTTAACTCAGATAAGAACCTGCTAGTAAATATTTCATTTAAGTAAATTCACATAAGGTCCTGATAGTATATATGTCATTTAAGTAAACTCACATAAGGACCTGCTGGTATATATGTCATTTAAGTAAGCTCACATAAGGAACTGCAAGTAAATATGTCGTTTAAGTAAACTCAGATAATGACCTGCAATTAAATGTGTCATTTAAGTAAACTCACATAAGGACCTTCTAGTAAATATGTCATTTAAGTTAACTCAGATAAGGACCTGCTAGTAAATATTTCATTTAAGTAAACTCACATAAGGTCCTGCTAGTATATATGTCATTTAAGTAATTTCACATAAGAACCTGCTAGTATATATGCCATTAAAGGAAACTCACATAAGGACCTGCTAGTAAATATGTCATTTAAGCAAACTCACATAAGGACCTGCAAGTAAATATGTCATTTAAGTAAATTCACATAAGGACCTACTAGTAAATATGTCATTTAAGTAAATTCACATAAGGATCTGCTAGTAAATATGTCCTTTAGGTAAACTCACATAAGGACCTGCAATTAAAGATGTCATTTAAGTAAACTCATACAAGGACCCGCAATTAAATATGTCATTTAAGTAAACTCATATTAGGACCTGCAATTGAATATTTCATTTAAGTAAACTCACATAAGGACTGGCAATTAAATATGTCATTTAGGTAAACTCATATAAGGACCTGCAATTAAATATGTCATTTCAGTAAACTCGCATAAGGACCTGCAAGTATATATGTCATTAAATTAAATTCCCAAAATTACTAAAATGTATATACTGTGTATTCATTAGATACTAATTGTTCATGGTGTGTTAAAAAAACAAAACTATTTCCAATGGGATTGTATACAGAATCTGTCAAAAATACAAACTTTAGTATCCCTCAATCCAGGAAGATAAACGAACTCACAAAAAGACAAAAGACTCAAATGTAGAATCATAAGTGTACTAAAGGCTCTAATTAGCAGAAATCTCTCATCCTAACCATTTTTAAAAACACCTACATCAATCAGGATCAACGAAATTTGTCTAAAAAATCTTTCAAGACCCCCCCCCCCAAAAAAAAAAACAAAACATTATGATCACAACTTAATAGTAAGCTGTTCACATATGTCTATTTCTACATTACAAATTGTTGAGACAATAGGTAAAACACTAAAATTGGTCAAAAATGGTAATTTAAGTCAATTAAACCTGTAAATAGACAATTAATGGTTTCAGTCTTATACCATTTTGGTAGATCTTGTATTGCTGAACAATTTTGCTGTTTACAGGGTCTTTCGTTTCTCGTTTTTAAGATAACAGTCAAACACACTAAAGTAAGTGAAAAATCTCCCTTCAATGGGCAATATATGTCTTATAAGGATATAAGAGGAGGTTAGAATGAACATTTTTGCCACACAGCAGATTTTCTGTACCTATAATGGTTTTTTTGCATTTTATACTTACATTCTATTTTGTATATGCCAGGTCAACATGTTGGTTATTGGACTCAAATAAAATTAATGAACTTTAACTAGCGATCCTTCGGTGAAGTTTTAATTCAAATGGTTCATTATTTTCAGATGAGAACATATTTGAAAAAGTTTAAAGACAAAAGATGCCAAAAGCTCAAATTGACCTTGGATAGATGGGTTAAATATTTAGTGTGAAGGTGTTGAAGTCTTCTACTGGTCCATTCTGATGATCTTTTTTACATCATAAATTGAAAAATTAAACTGATTAAAATTTCATATAAAATTTTAAACATGTTAAATAGGTGAATATATGTTTCAATTTTATATTTTAAAAATCCTTATATTATACCTGCTCCTAGGAAAACACCAAGGTTAATGGAACCAATCAAGGAGACTTCAGCTGCTCCAACGTTGAAGTAATCTATAAATTCTATATTGTACATTCCAATGGCTCCCGCTGTACCAAATGATATCACTTGAATCATAAAGGCCGAAAATACAATCATCAGACACCACCATTTGGGAATCATTATCTGGTCTGTTTACTTCGATGTTGTCTACTACAGGACATAGTCTGAAAATAAAATACAGCAATGAATTTAGATAAAAACAAATTAATCATTTGAAGTATAACCTTCTTTAAAGCAAATATGTTGTTTTATATATAGAATGTTTTGGGTGTCTTTACCTGTTTTATATTTAATATCTGTCTATATATGTTGCTTCAATTTTCAAAACTGTTTTATACATTGGTAGTTTTAAAGCTTGACATATTGAATAGTTCTTATGTTTATTATTTGTTGATTTGTGTATGTTGTTTGGTTTTTTATACTGTTGGATTGCTGTCTCATGTATACCCGAAATCTTCCTTTAATCATGGTATTAACCTGTATCTATGCCAAGAAATTAAAATTCATCATAAAATACCTATCCTTAAAATACAAAAATTCTGACCATTAAAAATCCTGATAATCACAGCGTATCATAATAACATTGTTGTCATGAAGGAGACATCTGGTAAGATAAAAATCAAAGCAGCGTCGGTACTGTAATTCAGTCATTTTTTAGCTAGGGATAGGACAACATTTTTCTGATCTCATTATTAATAAAGATGTGTTCACTGATGAAAAGACTGGAAGAACTGTGTGCCTAATTTAAAATCATGTTCTCAGGTATCGTGGTGAAAAAAAAATAATTGATATACCTCTCTTGCATTAAATTCAGAAAGATATTTGGATTTTTTTTCCAGTTAATAAAACTAGCTTGTCTCTCTAAATTTACTTGTAAATGGTTGCTTTTAGGAGTATTTCTAATGTAGAACATAGGTTGGGGTATGCTATTTTTCTAACTCATCTTAAGATCATTAATCGATTTTTGATAAAAATTACATGACACTTTTTTTCCAATTAAATAATTTTGGCATGATTGGAAATAGAAATCTCAAAGCAAGGTGTAGTCTATTTTTTTTTTTTTTATTGAAGTTTGACTTCATAATTTCTTGAAAGAGGCATTTAAAATTAAAGAACTATTTTATTAATTTGATTTGGTGTTCAATCTTTATTGAGACAAAATAATTTCCTGTATTCAAATATACATGTACAAATACCTAACACTGTTAAATAGCAATATAATGGGGGAGAACAAATATATTTGATTGCAGAAAATGCTCAGGTTAGTGTTATGCAATTTTGTTTAATGTTTCAAGCAAATTAATAATAATTGTAACTTAAATTAACCTAAATTATTAACAAGTTTTACAAGTAAAATAGATCCGGCTTGCATTTTTTATACATACTTTGTTTTTTTGTCTGTCTTTTGCACAACACAAAATGCATTCTTTTAATCCTAAATCATTCATCTTTGAGACATAATTTACAGAATAGTTTTATGTAGTGTAGATCAAAAGTGATTGAATACACATCGTGTACCAAATTCTATTCAATAACTTGCACAAGCACAAGATACAGATAAAATACTTTCATAATTCTTATCAACTGATTAAATTTGATATGTTACATTTTCTCATTAATCCATAAACAGTAGTTTATTATAAATTTTGATTTACAGAGGAACTATATGCAAGTGTATATCTTAAATAAAGAAGCTGTTCGACCAATATTTTCTTAATTTAAGGGCAAATAACATATCAAAAGTTGGCAGTAGATGATTAAAATGGTGTATTAGACCGTTGGTTTTCCCGTTTGAATGGTTTTACACTAGTAATTTTGGGGGCCCTTTATAGCTTACTGTTCGGTGTGAGCCAAGGCTCCGTGTTGAAGACCGTACTGTGACCTATAATGGTTTACTTTTATAAATTTTGACTTGGATAGAGAGTTGTCTCATTGGCACTCATACCACATCTTCTTATATCTATATAAAGTTTCTGCAAGTGATAAAAACACATAATTAGTTTCATGATATGTCTTCAACTTAGAATTCTGCACTATCTCAAAATCCGGAGTGATCACATAGATCCAGCATGGCTGAATCAATTATCTATTTATCAGGGATTAAGTAAGTTTTTTTTTTAGATATACCATAATGATATATATAGCAATAAATAAGTAGAGACATTTCGGTGCTTTGTCGCCAATTGGCATTTCATTTGCAACACAAACCATATTTCATTTGCGCCAAAATAAAACATTTCATTTGCATTAACAAAACAGGTAAATAGTATAAACAATAGATATATTGAACAAAAACTTTTAATAAAAACCACAATGGAAGCAATATAAACTGAAGTAAAATTAAAAGTCTGCTATGGCACAAAACTTGTAAGCACGGTTCCGATGTACTAATGAAGGGAAGTTTTCGCCTCTTATGTGCATACTATATTTCTCCGAAAGAAAGTCGTTTTTTTTCTTTCTTCCATCGAATTTAATTGAAGCCGGGTTTATCCATGGATCTCATTGCTATATACGTTGTTGCCTGAATATTCTTTACTACGTCCATGGTCCACATAAATGAAAAAGTATGGATGTTTAGAATTAAATTGCTCAGTAAAATGTGCATGGGGCGATTCTAGTCTGTTGTTGGTTCTATTAAAATTCTCATTTGGTGCACATATGTGACATGGGAACAGTATACAATTTCAAACTTAAGTCACTCTTAAGAGATTTGTATTAGAAATGAGTGTAAATTTTTATATGCCTTAACTGGGAATCGAACCCCTCCTTTCGACAATTAATGTCTCTTTTTATCCAACGCAATCATAGGGTTTGAACGTTGTTTTCAATTTAGACTTGTTTATATTTTTTTCGTTTGGGCTTGTATTATATTTGCCTTCGGGTTTATATGATCCGTTCATCCTATTTCGACTCTTCAAAATTCAAGAGTCAATCCTAAATTGAGGTAAATTATATGGCCTTCCAAATACCGTTTCGATTCCTAACATCACTGAAGAGACATTAATTGTCGAAATCTGGATATGGTGTACAAATTTTTACACCTCATGTTTGCGGTATACCATCTTTTCCGCAAGTTTATTGTTTTCTGTTTGGTATTAAATTAATAATTAAGATCCATTTGTTACATCTGGTGATCCGTTTATTTGGCAATAGCCATGGCAGTCAGCAGGGTTTAAGAACATCCGTTGTTCGACCTGCTAGTCAAATGCGTTCTGTTAAAATATACTTTTTCACTTTTTTGGTCTTTTGGTAACTTTTGAAATATACATTATATTTAAATGTGGTTGTTCACTAACATTTAAATAAAATTCACCAACATTCCAACTGACTTCATTTTCAGAAAACGATATCTGTAACAAACATAAACTATTAGCTACTTCTTTACAAGCAGAACTAAATACAATGAAAGTCCCAACTATGTACTGGCTTCCGAAGCTACACAAATCACCTTACAAATATAGATTTATTTCGTCTTCAAGTCATTGTTCCACTACTAAATTGTCTATTCTACTTACTAGTACACTTGGTACAATCAAAAACCTGATAATAAATTGTTCAAATAAGGCATTTGAAAATAGTGGAATTAACTACTTTTGGAGTGTCAAAAACTCGTTGGAAGTACTTGATAAATTGCATGCATAAATTGGTGATTTTGAATCTGTTCAAAGTTTTGATTTTTCTACCCCATATACCACTTTGCCTCATATTCTTATTAAGAAAAAATTCACACACCTAATTAAATGGGCATTTAAAAAGTCGGAATGCGAATACATATGTTCAAACTTTTTTAGGTCATTTTTTAGTAGCAACAAACAAAAGAGCTATGTCAATTGGACATGCTTTGATACTATATCTGCCCTTGAATATTTACTTGATAACATTTTTGTTCGCTTTGGAGATAACGTATATCGTCAAGTTATCGGAATTCCAAAGGGGACTAACTGTGCACCACTTATTGCGGACCTGTTTTTGTATTGTTATGAATTACAATTTATGACTAAAATCAGCAAAGACCCATCGAAACAACATCTGATACAAAAATTTAACAATACTTTTAGATATTTGGATGATATATTGGCTCTCAATAATGACAACTTCAGGATGTATACTAAAGAAATTTATCTTGTTGAACTTACTTTAAATAAAGCTAATACTAACAATGACCACTGTCCTTTCCTCGATCTTGATATCTATATCATTAACGGGAAGCTTAATACAAAAATTTATGATAAAAGAGATGATTTTTCATTTGCTATCGTTAATTATCCATTTTTAGATGGTGACGTTCCCTTGTCACCTTCTTATGGTGTTTATATATCTCAACTTGTACGATTCGCTCGTGTATGTAACAACGTATTAGATTTTAGCGAGAGAAATTTATATATTACTGAAAATTATTACACCAAGGTTTTCGATATCATACTAGTCAAAACATTTACTAAATTTTATCATCGGTATAAGGACATCATTCGTAAATATAAATCAACATGCAGACATCTTATACGTTCGGGTATTTCACATCCAATCTTTTATGGTAATATTCTTTACAAAGCACAAAAATGCCAGTATTCACCTCAAAAGCTAACAAAACCTTTAAACAGACTTATTAAGAAGGGATATAGTTACGATACTGTTGTCAGGTCATTAAAGATTGCATATTTTGGCTTTAATATTGATTCACTTATAGGTTCTTTGCATCGGAATTAAACATATTTATTCTAAAACCAGTTGTTGGCATGACACGGGTTGTGTTCTTCTCATATATTTTATGACGGTATAATACTAAACCCCTAACAGGAGGGATTGTGCCTGATATTCATATGATGAAGGCATAATCTTTCAATCAGTTTAATTGAGGTCTGGAGCTGGCATGTCAGTAACTGCTAGTAGTCTGTTGTCATTTTGTTTATTTTCTTTTGTTTCCTATTCTGACATCGGACTCGGACTTCTCTTAAACTGAGTTTTACTGTGCGTACTGTTGTACGTTTGTTTTTTCTACATTGGCTAGAGGTATAGGGGGAGGGTTGAGATCTCAAAAAACATGTTTAACCCCGCCGTATTTTTGCGCCTGTCCCAAGTCAGGAGCCTCTGGCCTTTGTTAGTCTTGTATCATTTTTAATTTTAGTTTCTTGTGTATAATTTGGAGTTTAGTATG